CTCTCCCTCTTTAATAGAATCTAGAGATAAAATAATCTAGGATTGGTATAAAATGCCACAGTCCTCAGGAACCCCCTTTGTGTTTTTTTTCCCGCCTGCTGCTCTTTTGGCTTCATCTGTGGGTCTTGCCTCATGTTCCAGGGTGGCTGCCTGAGCGTCAGCTCTCTGGTCCACGTTCTCTCCAGCAGGAGGAGCAAGTGTGAGAAATGTTAGGATTCCCTTTTTAAGGACCCTTACGAAAAGTTACGTAGGCTCCTTTTTCTTGCGTGCTATTGAGTAGTATTGGTTGCAAGGGAAACGTGCAACCTTCCTTGGTCTCGTAACTACAAATAGATCAGGGTTTCTGTGACTTAGGAAGGAAAGGAATATGGTTATTGGGGACAACAGATGATTTCTTACTCACTGCCTTTGTGCAGAAGTTGAGGTTCTGTGCCGTCAAGTCGACTACGAGTCATCGCGACCCTGAACCCTGACCTGTCCTGGGCCAATCTCACTGTCTCCGACAAACCGGCCCTCATTACCCCAGCTGTTGTATTGTGTCAATCCATCTCACCCAGGTTCTCCCTCTCCTCCACTGTCCCTCCACCCTTCCAAGCATGATGTCCTTTTCCAAGGATCAGTCCTTCCTGGCAACATGCCCATAGTGTTTGAGCTGGAGCTTCCAATTCCTTGTCTCGAAGGTTTGTACAGCCTATCTTTTCATAAAATGTTTTGTTTAATCTGCCCTCTTCCTCTTGACTAATAATGGCAGCCTGCAAACTGGGGCTGAGAAAGATTGTCAAGTTTTGCAGTAGAAAGATTATGTAATAGATTCACAGTGTTTGAGATGCAGTAAGAGAGAGATGGAATGACAGATGCTTTTTATTTGTTGTCTTTGCCTATGGTGAAACCTTGACATTAAAAAAAACATACTTTAATTATGGAAAATTTAAAATATTTACAAAAGTAGAGTGAATGATACAAGGAACCTTCAACTTCAACCCTCACCTCTTGTCAACTCATGACCACTGTTGTTCCATCTGTTCCCGTAACCAGTTCCCCTAACCTCTGAGAAGAATGGGAGTCTCAGAAAACTTGACTGTGCTAATGCGAAACCTATACTTGGATCAGGACGCAGTTGGCAGAACAAAGCAAGGAAACATGGCATGGTTCAAAATTGGGAAAGATGTATGCCAGGGATGTGTCCTATCTCCGTACCTTTTCAATCTGTATGCAGAACAGATTATCCTGGAGTCTGGGCTCTTAGAGGAGAAATGTGACATCAGGATTGGAGGAAGATTCATCAACAATCTGCGTTATGCAGACAACACAACCCTGCTTGCTGAAACTGAAGAGGACCTAAAGCATTTGCTGTGGAAGGTCAGGGACTGCAGCCTTCAGTAAGGATTGAGTCTCAATATCAAGAAAACAAGGATTTTCACCACTGAGCCGATTGGCAGCATCATGATAGATGGTGAAGAGATTGAGACTGTTAACAGATTTAGTTTACTTGGCTTCGTGGTCAACACTCTTGGCACCAGCAGCCAGGAAACTAAAAGATGTATTGCAATGGGAAAATCTGCTGTTAGAGACCTTTCCAAAGTACTGAAGAGCAACAAGGTCACTCTGGAGACTAAGGTGCGCCTGATACAGGCCATAGTCTTTGTAATCACTTGCTGTGTGTCAGAGACCTGGACAATGATTAGGAATGATAGATGGAGAATTGATTCCTTTGAGCTGTGAGAAGAGTACTGAATATACCATGGGCTGTTAGGAGAATGAACAGGTTCATCCTAAAGAGGGTGAAACCACGCTGTTCCTTGGAGGTGAGGACTCTGAAGCTTAGTCTGACATACTTTGGGCATGTTGCAAGGAGGGGCATTGTGCTTGGGAAAGTGGAGGACAGTGTATGAGAGGAAGACCCTCGATGAGATGGATTGATTCAGTGACTGGGGTAATCGGGATGGGTGTGTTGGAGACAGTGTGATTGGCACAGGACAGAGCAGGGTTTAGGGCTGTTGTACATAGGGTCGCTATGAGTCACAGGTAACTCGACAGAACATAAAAACAACAGCAACAACAACTTGTTATAGAGAAAATGGTAAATATTTCTGAGTTTGCTTAAAGATAAGGATTTCCACTTTTAGCCTTTCCACACACTCAAAAATCCATTTAGTGGAATCAGTTTTTCCAAATCTCTGCAGGTGATTCTCACGTACCTCTGGGCTGGCTGTCGCTGCCTGACTCACAAAATCAGATTCCTCATTTAAGAAACAGCTTTGTGGCCCAAAGGGAGTGGGAGTTTTGCATGAGGGGAAGCCCCAGTATCCAGGTGATCCTAATCACGGCTTCCCTGCTGTGTCTTCTCCATATAGTGCCACCTCTGTGACAAGACCTTTATGAACTCCACCTTTCTCCGGGGACACATGCAGCGAAGACATGCAGACATAGCAGAAGGTGGTGAGTCCAAGAGGTAGTCCGGGATCTTCTCGGGTTGTGGAAGATACTCTTCGTTGAGCTGGGGACATACTGTCAGCAAACCTACTTCAGAACTCCATCATCTGATTGAGAATGTGAGATCTTCTGGGGTGTGCTTCTGAATGTGAATTTTGGGACACAACAAAAACAAATCTTTAAATATATAGAAATTGTGGTGTATTCTTATGATGGAATACTATGCAGCACTCAGGAGCACTTATTTTAAAAAATATAAATGGGAGAGACTAGAGTGCATTACACTAAGTGAAGTAACTCAGTCTCAAAAGGACAAATACTGTCTCAGACTATTATTATAAAAATTGAAGGCTAACAAATAAGGTGTGGGTAAAAGTCCAAAGGGGAAAGGGGACAGACACAAGGGGAGCCTATTGTGAGGGGTGGGAAATCACAGGGTCTCAGAGCTTGGTGCGCAGAGGGAGGGGGTGAAGGAATTAGGAGAGACCCAGTGGGAACCTGAAAAGATGGAGTGATAGCATAGATCAGCTATGATTGGTTTTATAAAACGCAATGGATGGGAATGATAGTTAGAAACACAATGAGAATGAAGGAATGTGTGAGACACAACACATATGAATAAAACACAGTGTTTACAAACTATGTATGCAAACCAATATAAAAGAAAAGAATATATGTTAAAAATACAGTCCATTTGGGGGAGCTCTGGTGGCCTAGTGGCAAGAAGCTGCACTGCAGTCCCTAAGGCACGTAGTTCAAATCCACCAGCTGCTCTGCAGGAGAAGGATGGGACATCTTCTCATGCAATGAACTGTTTCTGAAAAACCTGCCTGCTGGAAGGTCAGCTATGGGGTCAGTTCTGACCCGATGATGCACAACAACAACAACAACAACAACAACAACATAGTCCATAGGGAGTTGCGCTTCTAAGTCTAAGGGCACACCTTCCTGACAGTTCGTATCCACTGGTGACTCAGACGAATCCAGTTTACAGCCTGGGAAAGTCAGTGATTCTAACTCAGTGTCAACGAGGTTGACTTTTTACTACTAAAGTCCTTTTCTTATTTGTCTATCTTTTAAACTCCCTCTCCAAAGAACAGGCTTATAGTTCAAAAGAAGTACAATTTACCTAATTACCGTGCATGTTTTATGTGTCTGTTTCTTGGTGATACATTGGGAAATGTGGGAAACTTGATTTCCATGTCTTAAAAACAGTCTTAAATAAAAATATGTCTTTGATGTGGAAAGTCTAGATGTAGAAATGTAGAAAAACAAAAATGAAATCATGAAAATCAGGAGTTACTATCTTGTATTGTCAGTTTGTTTATTTACTCAGATGGTCATCATCTAAGAGGTAGTTTTGATTACGGTTTATTTTCATTTGAGAATGTATCATGTTTTTACATGTCATGACATCTTTGAAAATTCTATTAAATAACTATCAGAATTGAATTAGAAATACCCTCCTATTAAAAAAAAGAGTTATTAAAAGTTTTCCTAGTATGAATCACTTGATGGTGAACATTCTTGGTTATAAATCTTTGTGCATCTCCCAGATTGTTTTTTATTTTATTTTATTATTTTTGTGTGAGTGTACCATCAAATCAGATCTGACTGGTACAGGAGGAGATTGTCCCTCCTTTCCCGGCAGAGCATCTGGTGGATTTGAACCGTGCGCCTCTAGGATTGTAGTTGCAGCTCCTTGCCACTAGGCCACCAGAGCTCCCCCATCTCCCAGATTGTTTTTTAACGCCAAGTACTGCAAAGGAAGAGAATTTGTTCACAAAAAGAACTTTTGCTACGTTGTGCCCATGACTCTGTCTTCTCAGTTGGTTGACTTCTCAGATGGCCTGTTATTATGTGCTTGCAACTCAGGGTGACCATGTGTACAACAGCTCTGAACCCTCCCGTCTCCTGAGCCAGTCTCACTGACTCTGACGCACCTAGTCCTGTTGGCCCATTACTGGGTCAATCCATCTCCTCCAGGGTCTTCCTCTCCTGCGCTGTCCCTCCACCCTTCTGAGAGTGTTGTCCTCCTCCAGAGACTGGTCCCTCCTCTTCACATGCCCGAAGTATGTGAGATGGAGCTTCAGAGTCCTTCCTTTAGCCTTTTGCACCAATTGTTTTGAGGCATCTTTGTTTTTCTTCCTTCCTCTTTGCTTAGGACAGGGAGAAACCAGTACTTGCACTTTAGAGGGCTGTCTACAAACTTTTTTTTTT